AAAAAAAAAAAAAAAAAAAAAAAAAAAAAAAAAAAGGAGGGTGCATAGGAATTTAGTCTAATTAGGCAAAGCATTTTAGATAAAGTGGAGGAAGCATATGTGGCTATAGCAAGAATTGAAGACTGTGTTTCCTTGACTCAAGAGGTGGAGGCAGGAGGATCAGGAGTTCAAGGCTAACCTGGACTAAGCATGACCCTGTCTTAAAAATCTCACGCCTGCCTTGTGCTCATACCCTGAGCCCCTCTCCCCAGATCCTGGGACGATGAGGACTTGGAACACAGCTGGAAGAGGCCTGGCACATCACTCTGGCAATCGAAGAGGTTCTCTGTCCCTCAAGGCCTGCAGAAGGTTCGAGTGCTGAAACACCAGGAGCTCCTGTTGGCGATGGCCGTGAGCTGCTACACAAGGCACGTCTTCACTTGTAGCCGGAGTGGCATCAAGGTGTGGAGCCTAGCGAACCAGGTGGCCGAGGACGAATTCCCCGAAAGCCACTTGCAATGTGGCATCCAGGTGACGGGGAGTGAAGGTGCCTGGGGCGGGGTCTGGAAGCCACCTGCACTGGTGGACCCTCGCTCATGGAGTCCATCCTCTGCAGGACAATGGAGCATACCTACGCACCTGCCTACTGTCCTCCAACAGTAAGACCCTGTACGCAGGTGGGCACAACCTGCCCGGAGTGAGTGTGTGGGACCTGGCAGCCCCGTCCCTGTGTGAGAAGTACCAGCTGCCCTGCAAGGGCTTGTCCTGCCAGGCGCTGGCCAGCACAGGGGAGAACGTGGCATTTGCTGGCTTCACAGATGGCACGGTCAGGATTTGGGACCTACGGAGTCAGGGAGTGGTCAGGTGCGACACAGACCACATGTCCTGAGCATCTGCCTGGCCCAACCCCCCTTCACCAGAATGGAGCCACGCCCCCAGCCTCTCACTGGGGATTCTAGGGGTCCGGCCCTGACCACGCCCACAACCACTCACCAGGAGACTCTAGGCAGGGCTCCCACATAACCATGCCCCCAGTCCCTCCTTGGGGATTCTAGGTGAATGCTCCACCCTGACCACACCCTAGTCCTCGTTTTACCTTTTATTTAGGATGTGTGTCTCATGTAGCACAGGCTGCCCTAGAGCAGAGGATAAGCTTGAACTCCTGATCTTCATATCTCCATCTTCCAAGTGCTGTGTGTGCCACAGTACTTGTGGATGGGGCCTGGTAGGGGCTCCAACAACCTGCAGGAATCTGTTCTCCTTCCATCAGTAGGTTCCTGGAAATGGAACTCAGGTCACCTTTTTCCCACCGAGTCACCAGGGAGCCATCTGGCCAGCACTTTTACTTTTATTCATTTTATCTGACTATGTCTCACTATGTCTCAGTAGACCAGGCTATCCTCTGCCTCCCAAGTGCTGGGTTGTCAGGTACATGCTGCTAAGCCCTGTTCAGTTCTTATCCTGAGGTTAAACCATGTGAAGCTTGAGAAGCTGATACTGAGCTCACTCGTTAGCCCAGGCTAGCTCTAACTTGCAATCCTCCTACCTTAGCCTGAGTAACAGGGATTACGGTTTTGAGTCACCATGGCCAGCTTTGGTTCTCCCCTCTGCTTTTTGAGACAGATTCTCACTATACACCCAGGCTAGCCTAGAATTCACGGCAGTCACCCTGCCTCAGCCTCCTCAGTGAGTGCCAGCACACTCTTGGTTTGGAACATAGTTACCCATTAGGTGTAGGGACTTTGGGATGATGTCACTGTCCCCTTCTTGCCAAAGGTAGAAGGCTACCTGCAGATAGAAGAACTGGGGGATCTCAGGGATGTGGACCCCAAGACTAGGCTCACCCCCTTTGCTGTCTCTCTGGCTAGGGACCTTGAAGGCCCTGTCAGTGCAGCCAAGAGTCTCGTGGTCAAAGATGACAATGTCTGGACGGGAGGTCTGGATGCTTGTCTGCGATGCTGGGACCTACGGGCTGCCAAGGTGTCTCTGGAGCACACATTCCAGTCCCAGGTACACAGACCTGGCCGGGGCTAGATGGGCGTGGGCTTCAGTTTAGAGGATGAGGTGGACTTAATGTTTGGGAGAGGGAGCATCCCAGGTCAGCTTGAGCGACTTTTGACAAGACAACAGGGGTCCTTAAAATATCTTTTTTCAGCCAGGTGGTGATGGTGCTTTTAATCCCAACATGGGAGACAGAGGCAGGTAGATCTGAGTTCAAGTCCAGCTGGTTTACAGAGCGAGTTCCAGGACAGCCTGGTCTACACAGAGAAACAGAGAAACCCTGTCTGAAGAAGAAAAAAAATTTTTTTTCATAAATGGACATGGTGGCAAAGACTGTCATCCCAGTACTAAGCTAAGGCAGGAGGATGAAAACATGAATCTAGCCTGGGCTACATAGTGAGACCTTGTCTCAAAAAACAGGGAAAGTGGTTAGAATGCTTTCTTAGGGTGCTGGGCCATATCTCCAGCATTGTTCCTGACACCCCAGGGCCTGGACAGATAGAGCTAGGAGAATCTGAAGTTCAAGGTCATCATCAGCTACACAGGGGCCTAAAGGATAGAGACCTTGAGACATTGTCTCAAAGACTATCATTACAAAAGTTTCATGCTGGAGTTCAAAGCCAGTGTGGGCTATGCGGTATGAGTCATTATAGGCTAGCTTAGGCTACAGAGTTGAGACTTTGTCTCAATAAAACCAAAAAGGGAGAGAAACAGGCTCTCCACTGTACTATTTAACTCTGCAAAGTTTGCAGCCCTCTGTCCATTTCAGATTAGTAAAGGGAGGCATGGGGTCTGTGACGGGAAGCAGCCAAGGTGACAAGTTCTGGGACCCTTACCACCTGCTGGGCTGGGGTCTGACCTCTCCCTCTGCCCTGTCCTTCCCAGATCATGAGCCTGTCGCACAGTCTGCGGGAAGACTGGCTGCTGCTGGGCCTGGCCAACGGCCAGCACTGCCTGTATGACAGCAAGAAGAGGATTGAGGCACTCGCTGTGGGTTCCAAGGACAAGACCATCTTAGGTCTCAAGTTCTCCTCAAATGGTAAGGAGTCCAAGAACAAGCATGCACTGTGGTCACTGACATTCCAGAAGGTTCCGATGTCTAATCAATGCTGCCACTCAGTGCTTTGACACCCCATCACACCCAACACCTTTTATTTTGGTTTCTCAAGATGGGATTTCTCTGTCTACCCCTGGCTGTCCTGGGACTCTCTGTAGACAAGGCTGGCCTCGAACTCAGAGATCCGCCTGCCTCTGAGTTGCTGGGATTATTTGTTCTGCCTTTTTGTTTTGGGTTTTTTTTGTTTGTTTGTTTTTGCTTTTGTTTTTTTGAGGAAGGGTCTCAGCATCTCAAACTCTTCAATCCTCCTGTCTCAGCCTTCTAAATGCTGGATGACAGGCACTTGGCTTCCAAATGAGAGTGGGTGGGGTCTTCTATAACCTAACTGTCCCTCCATTCCTCCTAGGCCAGTGGTGGGTGAGCGTGGGAATGGACAACCTTGTCACCGTTCACAGCATGCCGGCAGGAGTGAAGCTGTTCCAGGTAGTCCTGTGCAGGGGGGGACTCACCCCCACAGGGGCCAGTTCTCAGTCCTGGGTGTAGAGGAGCTGGCTGGCTCGGGTGGGTCCCATGGGCTCACTCAGCCTGCTGTCACACAGGTCCCTGAGGTTGCCACTGTCACATGCTGTGACGTGACAGCCAATGGCAGGCTGATTGTCACAGGATCAGGGGACTGTGCCTCGGTGTACAAGATCAAGTACTGACAGCTTCCATTCCCATCTTTTCCTCCCCCCAACTGCACAGTGGTGGATGTGGGTGGGTGTGAGAGTCCCATGGGTGTACCAACCCTTCCTCATATGTAATAAAGCAATTGAGAAGGCAGAGACGGTCTGTTCTGTCATCTGAAGGGATATTGTTCCAGCCCTTTTTAACCCAAGTTCTGGAAGGACTCTGGCTCTGAGCCTTCCAATTTCTTGATCACCTTTAATCCCAGCACTCGGGTACACCTGTGACCCCAGCTGGGTGTAGGTGTGGAGACCCTCATCAAGGCCCTCCATCCTCTTATCTGCCCTATCAATGAGGTCAAGACCAATAGGGGCTGACACCCAGCTGGCCCAGCCTCCGCACCCTTGACGCACATACAAAAGGAAAGCGAGTCCATAAATAGTTATATATTTCCCCAGTGCCTCCAGCCCCACCCAACCAGGAATGAGGGAGCTGGGGTGTGAGCAGAGGGAACGGCATCCAAGTGACCATCCTCAGGCAGGTGACCTGAAGATGCAGGCAGATGGCCTTAGTACACCACCTCATACACAGTGGCCTTCTTGTCCCCTGAGCCTGTCACGATGTATCTATTATTCCTGGAGATGTCGCAGCTCAACACTGAAGAAGACTCTTTGGACTAGGGCAGAGAAAGGAGAGGTGATGTTCAAGCCAGAAGCAGGGTACTTTGGGGGACAGTAAAGGCTGATGGGGGCAAGCATAACAGGTGACTCAGAGAGATGGTACCCAACTTCAGATGGCTTGAGGCCACCGAAGCACACATTTACAGCCACTCTGCTTTCTCTCTTCAAGTCTCATTCTACAAACCAGGCCAGCCTCAAACTAACCATGCTCCTGTCCCAGATCTTCGTCATGTTCCAAGGGGTCAATGGTATCCCAGACATGGGAAGGGTTGATTTAAAGGCATTCCACACCACCTCAGATGTAACAGCACTACTCAGGATTGGAGGTTGGTGGGGAAGATGGGAAACTTGGAAGACAGCTATGTCATGTCCAAAAAAAGGTCCAAGAGACTTGGAAGCCACTATCGAAGCAGAGCCTAGGACTGACCAGGGAGAGAGCTCACCCAGCACACATGAAGCCCTGGCTCTGTCTGCAGCATCACACACCCATCCCATCCTCAGTCCCGCCTCAGCCTCCTATCTAATGAAATGACGGGATGGCAATAATCCATTCTGAAGGAGGGAATGAAAACCCAGCTTGGTCGATTCACTTCTAGGAATATTCAGCCATGAACTGCTGGAGCATGGCTCTGACACTTGCCACAGCATGGACCCCTGGACATCGTGCTCAGTATGCAACCCAAAGTGTGTGGGTCTCAAAGTCCGGAATGCAAAGGCAGCCAACAGCTGGGGAGGAGGGTGGGTACCTGAAAAATGCTGGCCCCGTAGGGTGTCCTCCAGGCATTAAGCAAGTTGTCCTTGCCTGTGCTCACAAACCAGCGTCCTGGGGAGGGGACAGAGAGTTAGAGACAGAGACCAGGACCTCCCAGGGCAGGGGCTCTGCGCCTGAATGCTCTGAAACTCACTCCCCCAGCCTGCTAGTCTGCAATGTCAAAAAGCTGAGAGCTGTCAGTCAAACCCCAGACCACTGGCTTCCTTTGTCAGAGAAGTCATGGATTTGGGGGGAAGGGGGTTGTCTGTGGCAGGAGGATTGCTGTGAGTTTGAAGGCAACCCAGGCTTCCAGGGAATACTCTCTCAATGGCTGAGTCTTTTCATATGGCAGGTAGCATGAGGAAAATTTGGGTTTTTTGTTTTTTGGTTTATTTGGTTGAGACAGTTTTCTCTGTGTAGCTTTGTAGACCAGGCTGGCCTCGAACTCAGAGATCCACCTGCCTCTGCCTCCCAAGTGCTGGAATTAAAAGCATGCGCCACCTGGCAGAAAACTTGTTTTAGCCAGGCAGTGGTGGCACATGCCTTTAGTTCCAGTACTCAGGAGGCAGAGGCAATCGGGTCTCTGTGATTTTAAGACCAGCCTGGTCTACAGAGTGAGTTCCAGGACAGACTCCAAAGCTACAGAGAAACCCTGTCTTGAAAAAAATTATCAGCCGGGCGTTGGTGGTGCATGCCTTTAAACCCAGCACTCGGGAGGCAGAGGCAGGCAGATCTCTGAGTTTGAGGCCAGCCTGGTCTCCAGAGCGAGTGCCAGGATGGGCTCCAAAGCTACACAGAAGAAACCCTGTCTCAAAAAACCAAAAAAAAAAACAAAAAAAAAATTATCTTTGGTGTGTGGAGGTAAGAGGGTCAACATGGAGTGACTTGAGTAGCTTTTTTTGTTTTCCAGGACATGTTTTCTCTGTGTAGACCTAGCTGCCCTGGAACTCTGTAGACCAGGCTGGCCTTGAACTCAGAGATCCACCTGCCTCCCAAGTGCTAGGATCAAAGGTGTGGCTACCCCACCTGGTCCATCCTTTTTTTTTTTTTTTTTTTGAGACCTGTGTGTCTGAACTTTTACCTAAACTGGCCTTGATTTCAATAAGCAGCTGCGTGGACAGGCCTGGGTAAATCATTCTAAGGAGCCATTTTGGGGTGCCCCATCCTCCCTCTACTGTCCCTGGGGCCTCCCGGGCCTGTACCACAGGAAGCGAATTTGAGCGATAGCACACAGCTCTCGTGCAGACGCAGCTGGTACTTCTCAGGCTTTCCAACGTGCAGGACTTCCACGTGACTGCTCTCCATCCCAACGGCCAGCCAGTCCTGGTTGGGACAGTGACCCAGCGAGAAAATCTAGGGCAAGAGAAAGCACCGAGATCTAGGAGTGCCCCACGTCTCCCATGGGGACAAAAAGGTGGCCGGTAATAGGTGTCACACCCTAAGTCTAAAATCTAAGGCACAAACACAGGGAACTGCAGAATTCTAGGCAGAGGAAGCTACACAGGTGGCTCAGCCTGGGATCCAAGTCCTGCTTCTGAGTAATTGGGAGACTGCATTGAGTGAGTCACTCTTTGCTGCGGGTATTACTTTGGATTTCTGAGACAGTCACACTGTGCAGTTCTGGCCATCCTGGAACCACCCGGTGCTGGGGTTAAAGACCTGTGCCATCAGGCCTTGTGTTTGAGGCAGGATCTCTCACTGAACCTGGAGCTCACCTATTCAGCTAAACTGTCCATCCAGCCAGCCCCGG